CCTGCCTCCCTCCCCCCCCCCCCCCCCCTTTAAACTAATGCTCCGTTGGCTTCAGATCACAGGTCATGGAAACCTTACTGCTGTTACGTGCCACAGAACAGTTAGATTTGATGTAAACCTTGAAAGGCTTCCATCGTTTCACAGGAAAATCGATTTTTAACTTGCCGACTGGCTATTGAGATGGCTGCTCATCTGCACCCACTGTGGGGGGCTGTGCACCGGTCTGGCAATGGGACACACTGCGCTCCGTCGCCGTCATGGTGGATGTCTCGGGGCCAGTGTTCTGTAAATGTCATCTTGAATTGCATCGTGAGAAAAGTGCTTAAAGTTGAAGCTGGTGCTGGGTGACAGTGCATCTGGGTAAGGCAAATGAGAGGCAGTGAGGTGATCTCAGAATGGCATTGATGTGATTAACTTGAGGTCAGGGGTTCACACTAGAGTCCCAGGCTTGGCTTTTTCCTGCCCATACCACTGGACATCTGCTAATTCCGGATAGAGGGGAGAATCCAGGAAACAGCTATCATTGTAGCTCCTGCAGGAGAAAGGAAACTTCATTAGGACAACGAGGGCTCCTGGGAAGCTCAGCCCCAGGCATAAAATATTGTATTACGGGTGGGGAGGAATGCAGGATATTCAAATCAACATCTGCAGGTACCCCCAGAACTGACGTCTGGGGTGAGCTCAGCATGCGAGGCCTTGCCTTCACCCAGTTTGCTCTCGCCCAGTGGTCCCATTCCCCCCAGCAACCCGCCTGGTGTGAGAAGGCAGCAGAAGCCCGAGCTCTGGCAGCCTCTCCAGAGTTTTGGAGGATGCCCAAATGGCAACAGGCAGAGCTGTTGTGTTTTCAGCCCACAGCTGGCCAGGGGTAGGGGCTTCGTGAAGGGGACACACTAAAAGAGAGCAGAGCGGCTGCTGGAGAGTGAGAGCTTGTGGCCGACTTCACCAGCTGTGTCCCTCCCACCACCTGTGGTACCACACCTGCCTCTGCTTTCCCTGTTTGTGGCCTCTTCCCTCCGGGGGTACAGCAGCAGGGCTCTGCCTTGCCCGAAGGGCTCTGCCTTGCCTTCCTCTGCCCAGTAGCGAGCTAGGGTAAAGAGATTTTCAGTAGAACGCTCTCCAGGGAGCACAGCAGCCATCCTGGCCCCAGGCTGCATTACCTAGTGGGAACATGGGAGGAGGAGGAGGGTGGTGCTTTCCTGTAGCACTTCTGCTCTGGGCAGAGGCTCCTGCATCACCTGGCAATCCCGGTTACGTGGCTTCCCAGAGGTGAGCTAGCAAGCGACTAGTGGGAGGGTGCCAGGTCCAATGTGGGAAGGACCATGTGTTGTTGTAGGTAGCCTAGTCCTCATCTTGGGGCACCTCTCTTCACACGCTTCTTTTGGTGTATGGCTTTTTGTTTGCTTGCACAGAGCAGGCAGGACAGTTTATGGGAATTCTCTTTGCTATTTATCTTAAAGCTCCAATCGCAGTTGGCTTCTGGCTTAGTCTGCGTAGCTCCTTGCCAGAGGAAAATACTGAGGTCAAAATCTTGTTGATATTTTGAAAAGTGACTGCTGTATCTGCATAGTAATATTCAGAATTTATGTCTCTCCTTCACGCTTTGATTTTAACCAACTTCCAAACTAGAGATTGCTTTGAGGCCAAAAGTGGGAAATGCATTTTGTATCTGTTTACTGTGGGGTTCTCACTCTTCTCACTCCTTCCTCAGCTCCCTCCCCGCCTCGCAGGACTGATCTCACATCTGATGCAGTCCGACAGTTCCTGCTTCCTCTGTCCTGTTTTCCACCTGGTTTCCCTGAGACCGGTGTCTGGGAGGAACCTGAGCAAGGGCATCACCGTCTGCGTGTTAAAGAGCCTTTTGTCTCCCAGCTCTCTGCTGGAGTACGGAGGTTTATGGGTTACCCCTAGAAAGCTGTGCTTGAAATATTTGACAGATGCCAGCTGTCAATGGTTGTAGATTCAAATAAGAGTGTCAGACATGATGGCAGTTTAATTAAAATAGGAATACTCTGAGGGTTTTTTTGTTCCTGCCACCCTTCCCCCTCTGTTTTCCCACAGGAACGGGGCCAGGATGGCTCCTCGCTCCAGGAAACCTCACTGCTGCTACCAGCCTCTGCATCATGGTAGGGAAGGAGGAGAAAGGGGTGCTGGGTGCCATGGCTGGAGTGCTGCCAAGAGCTCAGTCCACGTCCCCCAAGGTCCCTGTTTACCCGGGTTCATCTCCCTGCCACTCTGCTCCCAGACTCTTCCCACAGCACTCTGCCCACGCTGCTTTGAAATGTCCCCAGCCACAAATTTTCCACTGCCACCTGCTCTCTGTGCCCGTTCAACCTCTGCATGATGGCAGAGTGGGCTGGCCTGAAGTTCTCTTTCACAAGGGAAAGCCCTGCAGCCGCAAACTTGCTGAAAAGGCAGAGAGAGGACTTCGAGGTGCTTTCAAGTTGTTCTTCCAAGAGCTGAAGGAAGCCTTGTTGCCAAACAGGCACAAAATTAAAAGGGCTATTCCTTGGGACAGCGGGATGCCAGTTACTGCCCTGTGTTCACGGACTGTAATGCAGAAGGATGAAAGAACAAAACGTTCCCTTACTATACCTCTATTCATCAGTACTTTGGTGGGTTGGAGACTGAGACTCATCCATAGTGGGTGAGTTGTCTGTTGCTTCTCTGAACAAAGGAGAGCAAAAAAGGAGGAAAGAGGAGAGAGGAAATGTTAAAGAAAAGAAGTGACACAGACATTGTTACGAGCTTATTAATCCAGTGGGGAAACAAGCTGATGAATCATCTTTAGAAAAAGTTAGTGACACAAAAACGTGTTGGGGAGAACTGTCAATCTTTTGAGTCGTGCTGGGAGGGCACAGCCTGCTCCTGCAGTGGGGGAGTTTGTGTTGTGCATCTAATGGCAAACTTTATCTGCTCCTCCTGTATTTGTGCGTACACCTTGGGTGTTACACTCAGGCATGAAATAAGTGCTGATTTGTCTCCAGTTCTTTTTGCATTGGTGGTTGGTGCAGGACCTAAGCTATACATCTAGGTGAGAATTTGGCTTGATGCATTTTTGCTGTGAGAGACAGGATGCAGGAGTTTTCTTGAATGGAAAAATATGAAAAGTTGGGATTTTCCAAACAGGTTTCTCAGCTGGCGGCTCACCAGTTTTACTTCTGATCATCATGGAGATATTTACAGGAATTGGGATTGGGATGGAGACTGAGACTAAGATTTGAGTCTAGACTCAAACCCTTAATAGTGGAAATTTCAGTGTACATTGAAGATAGCTGCCATTTTGCCAATCTTGTGATCCCTTGACTTTTTGTAAAATGGCACCAGGAAAATTCTGCTGTTCTAAAGCTAGAAGCACATGCAAAAATCATGTGAGGCTGGATGTCCAATGTGTGAATTTAAAATCCAAGGTAGGTCCAAGGGGGTTGTGGTTATGGCTCTCCTCATCTCCATTTCAAAGTATTGTCATGAGCAGTGCTGGAGTAAAAACAGAGGTCAAATTTGCTCATAAGTGACCAGAAGAAATCAAAGAGCATGAGATTTGCCAGTGGCTGCAAAGTGAAATGTTTGCAAAGTTACTGGTCCCAATTCACAACTCAGGGGATCGTCTCCGTTTTGCTACTCTAGGGGCTATGGTATTTTGAGGACCGCAGTCTGAAACTTTCTAGCTGATCTCACCAAACTCAATTTAGATGCAAAAATCTGGGACGTGCTGAGGTTGACAGGATCTGGAAATGATCTTTATTTATGTGGCAGGACAGAATTACAGGAGATTGCTAGAGAATACCCACAGGAGCCTGCAGAAGGCTTTTTGTTCACTCCTGGAACTCCCTGCCTCACAAAGAGGTGCCAAAGAACCCAATTACTATATATACACATGAGTAATGGCTACCTGCATGTAATGACTCACGCTTTGGCAAAGCACATTTAGTTAGTGGTAGCTGAAAAAAGATGCACTTAATAGTCATTAAGACACACTGCTAGGGGAAAACCTAGCAGAAAAACGTGGTTGCTGCACACAGAAATATGGTAAGCATCTAACCTTGCCTTTACAATGAAGATCTCCTTGGTCTGGACAGCTAGCGTGATGGTTTATAAAAAACAGATGAGCTATTTCAACGTATGGAAAATTGGAGGAAGACGACTGTCCCAGCAGGAAGAACCTGCAAGGCTTCTTTCCCTGTGGATCCGGCACTGCTTGGAGCAGTGCTGCCGGGTGCACGTGGCACTGCCACATCTTGGTCAGCCTGAACTAGAGCTCCACAGCTACGAGAGCATTGGTGGGAGCCTGGAAGCGCTCTGTGTGGGGGTAGGCTATGCAGCACTCGGAAAATGTTCCCCGTACCCGCATTCTCCCTTTGCTTGTGTGTGGGGAGGTTTTTCTCACCAGCACCGAGTTCAGGTGAATTCTCTACCCCGATCCCACAGACACTCACCCAGTCTGCCAGGCGAGAATGTGGTGGGGACTGCCCGGCGGCGTGGCTGCTAGTTCACTTGACGGCGTTGAACTCCTCTGGCTGTGAGGTAAGGCAGCTGAAAAACAACCAAAGGGTGGAGAAAAATAACCGGTGAGGTGAGGGCACGAGGGTCAGGGTGGTTTAGAAGCATCAGCTGGTCGGACCAGCAGAAACACGTCCTGCTGTGAGTAAACACAGCCTGGGAGTCAGAACTTGTCCTGTTCTCAGATGGCTGTGCCCAAATGTGGCACAGGAGCAGCCAGCCTGGTGCGTGTCACGGGCCGGATCCATCCTCAGCTCTGCAGCAATGCTTTGTTTCAGCCCAGCCTCCGGCTGAATACAACCACCCAGACTCCTGAGCCTGCCTGGGAAACACCGCACCTCTCCCACTGTCACAGCTCAACGGTTTTGCCGCTGCCTGGACTGGCAGGAGATGCTCTGTGTCCCTAGGAGCCAGAGCTGGCACTGACGACAGTCTGGACAAGTACACTGCTTCACGTGCAGAGGAGGAAGACAGCACTGAACATTTCAAAAGCTACAACTACCTTTCACTGTGCTTCTGTAATAAACTGAAGCTGGGTTTTGCTGACCCTGTGGGACCAGAGGAAGGCTTATCTTACTTCAGTGAAGACAGAAGTGAGTAGAACTGAAAACGTGGTTTTCAGTGGTTCTCGGGGGAGTTTCTCCAGTGAGAGTCTAGCTAAGAATCCACCTGACTGATCTTTCCTCCTCCTCAAGTCCATACAGCGCTGACCCTCCAAATTTAATTTTATATGCCTAGAAGTATGAGGCTCTTTGAAGGACAGTGTGAAGTCCAACAAACCTATCAGCTAGGGCTAATCAGCTAAAAATGATGGATGTTTCTACCTGGCATCCCATTCTGTGCTGTTAAATTCTTTAGCTGCTGCCAAATGACACTTCAAGAGAAAAACAAATTTTAATCTGCTCCTGGGAGCCAACAGCCCCCGAGGTCAGTATCTTCCCACAGCTGTAACCTGGAGCTGACTCTGAATGCAAAACCCAATCTGTGCTGCCAACTGGTCATGACAAGCTGTGATTACTGAGCACACTTGCCACTGTGCTGCCCAGATATCACATTTAGATGTAAAGACCCAGCTGGGTGGGGGAACGGACTGATTTGCAGCGGTTTTTATGTGCTCTCCCCCCTGACTCCGCCATTTTCGTTTCCAGATTACCTAACTGAACTGGTATGGTTTCCAGAGCTAAGCAAGGCAAAGATTTCCCATGTTCAAGCACTGGATGGAACAGAAATGCCCATGAATCAAAGGGGGGAAGACAGATTTTCATATGGAGACACGGGACGGTTGCAGCAGCTACTTGATTGTGTCTTGGTTCACATCTGGGCTTCCTACAAGTGTTGGCATCACACATAAATCAGCCTTTTCTCGGACAGCTGTTGATAGTCCACGAGGAGACTGGTGTTAAAACGCCTCTCTGACTCCACACTAGAGTCAGCAGCGAGCACAGAGCCCCGCTCGTGTCAGCCTGGTGGTCACTGTGGACCGGGCACGGTGCTGGGATGTCAGAAGGCCAACAGCCAGCACGGGTGGACCAGTGGTTCTGCTCAGGGAGGCTGCGAGGGCCTGCGGCAAGCCAGGCTGGAGCAATGGTGTCTGCCAGGCCAAGGCTGAGGCATGTGGAAGGGTGGGCATCGTGCAAACTGATTAACCAGCAGTCCTGTCCATGCGGGGCAGGATTCAGGTTTTTTTAAAAGTCCTTGGTCCATCCAAACTGGCTTGTTCAGCGGTGACTGATGGCCAGTAAATATTTAACCCTGGACTATTGCATAACACGTAGTGGCCTCCTCAGTTTAATGAATTCGACTGTTTTCTTACCATCTAATATTAACAGCAGAGAGGAGTGCAAAGCTCTGTACATGACAAAAAGGCATAATACTGCACTAACATAAGTGCTCTGAAATTCAGGATATTATCAGCAGAGCTACTGGAGCTACATGGGAAAACCAAGTCTCAGCAGTGCACAAAGACGTCATCGCTCAAACATTTTCGGGGGGGGTGGAGGGGCTGGGATGCTCCCTACTTAACCTTTCTCATGCTTTTGGTGATTCACTCAGGACACGCATTCTCCTTGTCTGCGCTGAGCCCCTGCTTGCTTCATCACTCCCCTCACTGTGCTTACTAACAGTGACCGCTGCCATGGTTTTTTCACTTTCAGCCCCTAGTGCCATCACCAAAACCCAACTGCAGTCTGAGGAAAGACTTGGCAACAATGGGGCTTCAGTCCCTCCCCGTCTTTTGAGCCCATCATTGCAAAGTGATGATTTCAATGGGAAAAAACCCCTGAGTGTCTCAGCCAAGGCTTGCCCCCCAGTGTTATGCCTACAGGCTTGGTGAGCAGCATGTGAAGGCCAGATAACGTGCAGATAATGTCTAGCATTGCCCTCCAGCTGGGGTGTAACGCCTGACATGAATCTGGGCTGCACGAAGCCCCCATTCCTCCTGCCCCTTTGCCCAGGACCATCTCTCACCTGACGTTGCTTTACACATCTGAGGCATTCTCGTGACCCGGCTGTGCGCCACAAAGGTGCTTTGCGAAGATGTGCTGTACTGGGAGCTGCTGTCTGAGGAAGTGGAGCTCGTGTGCGAGAGGCGGCTGTGCTCCTTGTGGGAGGCCGTGGACCGCTGGTACCAGAGCCGCAGCTCGTCTGACACGGCAGTCCTACCCGAGCCTTTCTCGTGACCCTCCCTGCCCAGAGATGGAGTCCTTATGATTTGGGAGCGGGAGGGGGTGAGCCTGACGGAGTCCACTTCATCCCCATGCCAGTTCTCCTTAAACATCCCCCCCGCTGTGTAGGAGTTGGAGGTTTTGAATTGTGCTTTCACGCTGTAGTGTCCCTCCTGGTCGTTCTCCAGGCTCCGCACCACCACGGGTGTGGAACTGCCCTCGATGTACAGGGGATACTCTTTGATCCTGTACTGGGAGGAGGGTTGGCTCTGGCTGTGCAGGTAGACGCGGTGGTGCCCTGTCCCGTTCCTCGCAGCCAGGTTGGGCATGCTCCCTGAATTGGAAGAGACCAGGTTGCCCGCTGATTTGTGCCTTTGCCTCTGCCGCTCTCTGGCTTTCGACGGGGAGTCCTCTGCCAGGGTGGAGTAGTTGGGGTTCATCTGAGCGGGGTAGTAGTGCTCAGAGCTAGAATGGCTGGTGCAGGAAGAGCAGTCGTCCATGGGGTCAGAGCCGTTACTGCTACGAGTCCTTGGAGTGTAGAAGTCGGGGCTCCCTGTCTCATTTTCTGAGCCGAGGAGCTTGCCTTGCGACTCCAAACTGGAGCTCCGGTGTCTAAAGTGCTGAGCTAAGCTGTGCAGTCTGGTCGGGCTGATGTCTACTGACCTGCAGGTACCAGGAGAAAAATCCAGGCTGGTAAGTCAACAAGATGAAGCACTCCCCATCCCCTTCTGCACAGGAGGCCAGCCTTGCTGGCAGGGAGCCTGAGGGCACTGAAAACCTGGAGCCCCCAGCACTGTGTGGGGCTGCTGCCTGCAAAGCAACCTGCTTCCCTGCTGTAGGGTTTGGGGTGATTAGGTCCTATTCCTTTTCCTCTGTGGTCTCCTTGGTGGTGGCATCCAGTCTGCAGCGCCATGTGGGATATAAACCCTTGCCCAGCCCGATTCCTCTGTGGCTTGCGACCCTGGGAAAGACCCCATCTGAAGGGCAAAACCTGGGAACCTCAAGCCCCAGCTTTGGTGGTGCGGCCCCGTGGAAGAGCTTTTGAGTCAGCACCATTCCTGTGCTACCAGGTTCACCTCGCTCTAGCTCTGCAAATCCTGAGACCTTAGCCTATAAAAGGTGGTGGGATTCCCTTGCAAGTGACTTGTGAATTCCCTGCACAGTTAGAATCCACCTGGCGTGAGACAGACAGACAGACTGCCCATACTTAGCCCAGAATGCAGTGATTCCTCCACTGGCCTTTCAAAAAGTCACCTCTGTCAAGCAGCTAGGTTTTACTGGGGCCCAGCCGTGGGTAGCACGTGTAAGACTGTCAGTGGGTGACAGCCCTTCAGGCAACCACCCCAAATCGCAAGTTTACAAGGCTCGATTCACAGCCAAGTCTGGGTGGTCTCTGTTCACCCCAGCTGTTTTGAAGAGCTTCAGCCATCCGTTCAAGGAGCAGGAACACCCCACAAACAGTCACACACATGCATGACGGACGGCCAAGGCCAGGGCACGCAGCTCATGAATGAGCCACAGACTGATCAATGGTTGTTTCAAACACCCAAATGGCCCCTACCCAGTCAAGGCCAGTTCTCAAGCACTGTGCCAGGCTCGTTTCTCACGCAGCTCAGCTCCAGTGTTAACAAAACATGGCACTCTCAAAAGGTTCTCCCATCCAAAAACTTGTAACAAACTTAACCCAGGGTCTTAATGCCTTGCATTGTCTCTGCCCGAGTCGGATGTGTTGGCATGGCTCTTGATTTATGCCGAGCTAAATGATGTTAGCACTACGCCTTGGGGCAGGATACTTATTGCACATAGCTTCAGCTCAGCTCTGCTTCCCGCAGTGTCCATGGAGTTTGCCGCGAGAGCAAAATAGCAATGACGCGTAAGAGTTTGTAGAAAGCCTGCTGAAAATTGGAGTCAAATTGGGCCACATCGAATGACCTCTCTTACACATTTCAGCTCTTTCCTCTGTCAACCCTGGGCTTATTCCACTGCCACCTAGATCCTTGGATTGCTTTATACAGGCTCTCCCTCCACATAAGATCACACACGTGCAAACATTTTATCTATGAGAGAGAATTAACACTACCTAACATTTTGTATCAGACAGGAAACAACATGTTATCTCTAGCTGGATCCATGGAGGAATTTACTGCAGAATTTAGCAGTAGCACCACATCCCTTTTAAAAGCGGTGTGGGGTTTGTAGTGCCTCTAAACAGTCCCTGACATGAAAAGTCCCAGTGGAAGAAAAGCTTGATTACTTTGATGGGGAGATGAAGGGCAGGATCACATTTATCTGAAGTGATTTCGGGATCTCGGTTCAGGAGAGATTCCCTACTGGCAACAGGACTCGAGTCTCTGATGTGAATAGGACTGGTTTGTGTCCTTTCCTGAACTGGGAACTAATTCATATCCTGGGGGCAGGATAAAGCAAAGAATATTTATTTCAGGGTAAGCAAGGGGAAATTGTTGTGGAGCCAGGAGGACTTACCGTGTGGAGTGGACGTAGTGCGGACTGCGTACCCGTAGATCCGGTGTTGACGGCATGCTGGACTGCGAGTTCCAGTGGGGAAGGCTCCGGATGGGGCTGTTCTGCAGTGAGCTGCTCCCTCCTGCCTCGGCACAGCTCCCGGTGCTGGGGAACCGCTTGTGATTGCTGCAGAGCAAACACCCTACTTCAATTCCTGGGCAGGAATTTGGGGAAGGAGCTCCCATGTTTCTCTCTAGATCTCAGGCATGTACCTGTGATCTCGTAGGGGTGAGCAGGAGCTGGGTCAGTGGCTGCTCTGAGTTGCATCCCAGAGCTATTGCTTCTGCAGGTCAAGATGAAGCCCCATCAAAGCCCTCAGATGATCCACCATCATCCTTCTTTTCTCAGTGTTTTTTTAAATATCATTGAGATACCAAGCACCAGTCATGTGAGTGCAGCCTACTTTTTAGGACACACTTATTGGCCAAAACACCTAAAACTCTCCTTTTGGTATGGTACACTTTATAGATTTTGAAAGGGCTCACACCCATCCCTCCTGAAAGCAGAGGATGTCTATGTCATGGGGCTTCAAGATAACTGGCTCACCTGGAATGACTGTGTGAGGAGCGTTTCTTGACTTTCTCATAGGGTTCATCCAAGGATGACTCGCTCCACATCTTGGGTTTGATGGGGGACTTGTCATAGTCGTTGCGGTGGTAATGCATTTGGCGGAGGCCTTCCAGCGACTGCGGAGGAGGAGGCCTGTTGTGCAAGGGTGGCCGGGGAGGGAGTCCTTTGTGTGGGGACTGGAGAGGGGATATCGTGCTGGTGACTTGAGAATCCTCTGTGAAGAGAAGAAGGGAGAGAGGTGATGGCTGTGTGATACCTCCAATGGCAGCACAACCCTGGGGGACACCACCACACCTCCAGAGCCTGCTTCCTTACCCCGCTTCCCCTGGTTGCCTTCAGGAGCAACCTGAAGACCCGACTTTCAGAAGTGCACCGGCTGACATTCACATTTTGGGAGGGAATGGCCAGCAAGATGCATTAAAACAACCGAAACCTTAAGAGAAAATAAGGGAGCATTCTGGGACTGTCTTTTGAAAGAATTCAGAGCAGTAACCACAGCAATACTCACTGCTCCAGGCCTGATGTCTGACTACAAGTTAGACTCAGGGGAAACTGCTCTCAGTCCGGAGCGTTTTTGGTACTGAGAGTTCTGGGTGGACTATTACACAGAACAGTTCCTCCATTTTGTGTGTCAATCAGGAGTTCACACATCCTTCCCTGCTTTCTTCCTGCCCTCTAGAACATATAGCGGCCAACATACCGTCCTCAAGAACAAGGGCATCTGAGAGGGAGCTGTCTTCACTGGCAATGTTTCCTTCTGAGGGGAAGAAAATACAAAGATGGTCAGATGGTCCTGAGAATCACAGTGACTGAGTGCTGAACTGCACCGTGATCTTTGTCCACAGAGTCTTAGCCTTCCGCAGTCACCCACGTCTTCCTCCTCACATAGCCAAGAGGTGAGATTCCTATAAACAACTGACTCAGCCCACTCTCAGTCTCGGAGGGCTTAGCTGCAGGCCAGGTCTTTCACTAGCAGGCTGCCTTTCAAGGAGCTGCTAACTCTTTTCAATTAATGGGGATTAAGACTGAGTCACAACAGAGAGCTGAGATCCCCAGAGGATGCAAAATGGCATGGCGCCATTAGCGAGATTTATAACTTGGGCCTTAAGGACTCTGGGTTTGATCTCTGCCTTCTTAAAATGATCATCCTGTTGCTAACTAAAGGCCCACGCTAGGTACCAGTTCTGTGTAATTCAGGGAAATGCTTTCTGAGCATCCTCTGTAGCAGCAGGAGAAGCTCTCACGTCCTTGGCATGCACACATCTGAGCTGCCTCCCCCATCCCGTGTCCTCACAGCTGTCTGTTATCCCTGTCTGCGGTGCAACTTGGTACCCAGGTCACAAATACAGCAGCTCTAATCTCAGTTCCTGCTACAAAGGCACAGAGAAAAGCTCTGCAAGTCAAAGGGAAAGGGCAAAATCAGCAAGGGAGAAAGAACCACAGCAGAAAGTTAATGGATTTCATGAAAAACCAATCAACAACCCAGTAAACCATAAAGTGCCCTGAGAATTACATTGTAAAAAAAAAAAAAAAGAAAAAAGCATTTGAACACAGCAATGACACTGCTACCACTTTGATTTTACAGATGCCTTTCAGCTAGAGAGCTCACCCCAATCTGCTAACATTAATTACATTTGTACAGCACCACTCTGGAGGAGACGTTAACAGAGCGATTTTATAGGTGAACAAAGGAGTCATAGTCTGCTTTCCTGACATGCTTATGATCTACAACGTGACACTGCTTCTTGTGCTGTGAACCAGCACATCCCCAATGCACAGCACGCAGCCCAGACACCCATCTGACAGCACACTGGTACGGGAGAGGACAACCCAACTGCCAGCACCCATGGAGTCAGGAGAAGGAAGAGGAGGGAGGAAATCTGTGTCTCAAGCCACGAGTTCAAGGCAAAAATTTTGCTCCCTCCCCTCCACAGACCCTTTGGCGATGCCATGGGTGCTGAGCCTCACTTACCATCTATGATCAGGGAGGCTCTCTGGGTTGGCTTCTTTCCAGATTTGATGCGATACTCATTGATGGCATTTTCAATCTCCTGCAGTTTCTTCAGTGCGTTCAGGTAGGATGTCTTCCTCTGTTTCTTCAGCTTTTTGCTGACGTTCGGGTCGCTCGCCAGGCGCCGGGCAGCCTCCGTGATCTGGGACTGAATAGCAAACTCCCTCTCCAGGCGCTCCAGCTCTGCCTCCTGGGGAAATGCAAGTGGATTCTGGCTACCACCAAACTCTCCCAGACCACCTATGGGGAAGCTCCCCCTGAACCTGGCCAGTGGCCTCCAACCAAGACTCTCCATCAGCAAAGCCATCCACGATCATGCTGCTCTCCTCATCTCAGGGCCTCCCTGAGCACACTCCTCTCACCTTCATCTGCTCACACGAGAGCCTGGGAGCACAGCTGGTGGAAGGGATGACCCATACAAGTAGGATGTGTGCTCCAGCCCTAACCCTGCTGTGCTGTTCGGCTTTTCATCCAGTTCAGTACGGCTTAGTTCAATGGTGCTCTACTGCTGACAGTGCTACGTATTGATGCAAAGCTACAGTTTTAACCTTCCTGACAGGTTTGCTTGGCACCCACCAAACTCTTTGGGGTAAAAATGCCAAAGACAGGCTAATTCCTCCCTGTGTACGGCCATCAAAATCCAGGGGAGAGTATGAGATGAAGTAATTATAGGCTGCTGCAAATGACTGCACCAGAAAATTGTCTCCTCGAGGTACAAGCCAGGAGGGTGATTTCAGAGTGAGCAGTGTGTAACAGCAAGCTTGCTGTATGCCAAAAAGGACTAGTGTCTCCAACATTAGCCTCTGCAGGGTCTCAGCAGAGCTTTTAAGCGCAACGAGGCATACCCTGGAAACTACCTACTGATTTTTAGTTATCCTCCAAAGTCAAGGGATTTAGGCCAATTTATGCCAAGGCAGAAGCAGATATAGAGCTTCCTGCTCTGCACCGGGACCCCAAGCTGTGAGCTTCAAAGGTACTTGCTAATCTGCAATGGATCTGGCTACCTTCCCCAGCTCGATGGAGTTTTTGGTGTTAGTCTGCTAGAAAGGGGAACACAGTACGTTGCAAATTAGGGAAAAAACGCCAAGGTCTTTTACTTCTAGCGAATGATGGGAGTTCAGATTGCAAGCACTGACAGACACAGATTGACGGAGATCCCCGTTATGCAAATTCAAATTCTTCATTTAGTAGCAGCATATGCTGCAAGAGCTGATGCTGTGGAAATTAATCAGACTGAAGTAATTCTCTGAAGTTTATATTCTGGGTTTCTGGCTTAAAAAAATCCCTTTGCTGTCAGTGGTGAGTCAGCATTGCCTTTAATCTATAATTATCATTTCCCCCACTTTACTGAAGGCTGAACCCACCCCTCATCTTTTTAATAGATCTCTTTTTGCTTTGAAGACTTTATAAGCTCTATCAGCCCCAAACTTATTTAAACTTAATTTGACACCATGGAGTTTTAAGGCCTGGAACCTGGTTCACCGCCTTCTGGCAAAATCCTTCCTAGAGTCAGGAATTACAGACCAAGTAGAGGCGATTACCAAAAAAATGCAAGAGGATCCTTCCCTGCAAGTCTTGCTCTGACAAAGGTCTTTCTAAAAGTATTGCATTGGGTTTGTGTGGCAAGGTTTTGG